TAGCTCAGTGTCATTGATCTAATGTCTGCTGAAACATCTAAAAACAGTGGTTATTGTAGTGTTTTTCAAGTTATGGGCTTTTTTTGTTTTTGTTTTTATTCAGGCTCTCTCTCCTTTTTCAATCTCTCTTCATAACAAAGTTAAATATTATTGCAAGAGGGCTAAATATAATTTACATATTTGTTATCTTTGAGAGAAAAAAAGCTTAAGTCTATCAAAGCAGTGGAAGCAGGTTTGCTAGATTTGATTTACAAGGCATAATAAGTAATGATTTAGCCAAAGTAAAGAAGTGCCAGTGGAGTTAGGTGTTTTAAGCATTTGTTGTTAAAATATTAAGCTGAACAATTTGATCAGCCAAGTTTGACTTTCATTGTCTTTGTTTAGACTAATTTTGGAATGTGAGCCAAAGAGATCTAATTCAACATGCTCTTTTTTTTTGGTTTATACAATGGCAGATCAAGATTAAACAACCAACAAAAAGCAACTCTTCCATCTCTATTTTTATATATTTGAGAATTAATTGTAAATATTATCACTTTCAAATTGCAAGGGATAAATTTGCAGTAATGTGACCCAGTAAAGCACATTGATGGATTAATGCCCCAGTAATACGAAGACTACTCTTTTATTGGCAAGGTCACAGAAAAAAGTAGGTTGTAAAGCATTGTTCGAAATCCCCATAAAGAAATAAAGAAACAATTCTGTTCTGGTAAAGGATACCATTTCCTCAACAAATGTAACATTATTTTCTGTTTCAATGAAAATGTCCACTTGAAGCTTCTTTTGTATGCTGTTTTTTGAGATATTTTAAATGTACAATTTAAATAAAACACATGCTTTCAAACACATAAAGTACCTTGTCCTTGATTTGACTAAAAATAGACAATATATGAAACTGTCGAACAGTGGCTCACTTTATAATCTCCTCCTGGAAGTGCCTTTAAGTGCAGTGGTGCCATAAACAATGACCATTTTTGAAATGATAAGGGGATTTGGCACGGAAAAAGCAATGTCTGTCTGTGGTTGTATGCACTTGACTCATTTATTAATTTATTTTAGTACAGAAGAAAGCCCCAGGGAGTTAAATGTTTTTTAAAAATCCATGATTAATGAAAGATTAATCATGAATTTTGTAGGGGAACAGGAAGAGTTGTCACTCTCTATTTGGGCCTGTTTGGAGTTGGGTAGAAGGAGGAGACATGCAAAGGGGAAAAGGGTGGGAGATTGTGTGGGGAGAAGATGGTGGAGTGGAGTGGATCTGGGGGTGGATGTCAAGGAGTGAAAGAAGGCAGGGGGAACTGCCAATGAAAATGACAGAAAAAGGGTTTTGGAATTCATGAGATGTTGACATAGCAAGAAGCCTGCAACACTACAGCACAGCCTTTGTTGTGTGACCCCATTAAATCAGCCATCATGTTGTGGGCAGCACAGAGTCACAAATGGGATACAAAAGGCCTTGCTTTGCTTTTGGACCAATACAGATACTATGGTGAACAGAGCTGAGAATGGAGTAAAAATTATATCTAAATGTGATCTTTTGAAAAAAAAAAAGTTTCTAAAATATAATTACTGGTGTAACAATCCAGTCAACTTTAGGTGTGACCCCACATAATATAAGAAGGCCACTATAAACCTTTTCAAAGATCCTATTCCTTTTCAGAACCTTCAGTCAGCACAAAATACTTTTCATAAAAAAGTCTGGGATGTTTCTATATACCTAATATTGTGCATCGCCTTGTCTGGTTAACAGAATGTTTTGCTACACTCTTGTTTGCTTTGCAAATTACTCTCATTTTAACAGTAGTTGAATTCTAAAGTGTTGGAAAAACAATAACCAAAGTGCTTGATTATTCCATGAAGTATAGAAAACTACCCTCCTGAGGATTCAGTTTCTTCAAAGGTAAGAACTCCTCCAGTTAAAATTATTTTCACACCTCATTAAAACATTTTCAGTGCCCATTGAAACAAACGTTAAATTTAATTTGGTTTTATTATTTCTTTGCATCCACACACAAATATTTGCTTAAATGTCCTTTATAAAGAATAAATATGTACACAGATTTGTAGCTATTAACAACCTTCTGGCATAACTCGGCTAGATATTTGACCGCTCTTCTTGGCAGAATTAGTAGCACTAATTTAAACTTGGCTGTCAATCATAGCACACATTGTTGATGTTGAGGATTTTGGTAAGCTGTTGCAGAAGCTTAATGTTACCCTGCATTTTACATTAAAAAACTTGGTCTCATGTTCGTTTCGGATTATCACTGTGTTGGAAAACCCAGCTTGATAAAATTAAAAGTAGAAGCAAAACCTAAACTGATTAGTATTTAAGTCAATTTAAAAAGCTGTTTTTCAGTCTAAATGCTCTCCAGCATCCTTTTAAAGGCAATCATCACAACTGGCTAGTTTAATTTATGGTCTAATAGAAAACTATTTTTCATTTAAACCCATAATTCATGTAAACCAAATTCCAAGTAATAATAGATACACTGAAAGTACTATTAAAATAATTAGTGAGACACCTTTCTTGAAATAATTTCACATCAATACTTATGCCTTTGTGTTCAACCTTTAAAATAGTCCCCCATTTTTATGTCAGTCATAAAAATACAATAATATTGTCAATATCTGCATCAGATGACCCCTTTTGCATAAGTTATTGCTGAATTTTAAGTGGACATATTAAAATGAGTGACAAAATGAACAGACTTTTGAACAGCTCTGTCTCTTAGGCAAACATTTTACAGTATAATAGATAGGGAAATGATGCATGGAGTGCAGGAACACAGTGAAGTAAACAGCCAGCTGCTTCTGCTGGGAACTTCAGTGATTTCACAGTTTTTGGGATTTGTCACTGGCAGCACCATTGAGTGTGGCAGATATCAGTCGTACAGGCTTTCAATAAACAACTAAAGTCAGTGGTGTTAACTGCATGCTAATTCATTCTTCCTTCAGTGTGCTGTTTTCCAGCTTTCTGAAGGCTGGATGTGGTTCAGGTGCTGTATAGACTAAATCAACATTATTTAATTGGATCTGTACACATGTAACAGAATGGATTTTAGAAATAATTACACTCCCTGTTCTTACTTCATTTAAAGACTTTTTGTTTTTCTTACTTTATTTGAAGACTTCTGTATGCTGTTAAGCTGCACTTCTCGAACTGAGAGATGCATTGAACTGCAGTTACAGCAGTTCGCCACCAGTGGGGACATAGTGCATGGTGAGCACTCCTGACTCAGCGAGCCAATGGCCATTTAGCGCAGTAGGGATTGGTCAGCGGAGGCGCTAACTGTTGCCCTTGTCTGTTTACACATGCAAATATCAATTAGCGCTGCTGTTTATAAAAAATGTATCTTATAGGGGAAGTGAGCTAGAGAAAAAGTAACAAGATATTTGTGTGAAAGTTTTGAATGAGTAATTGTTTGATCGACATTGTAAAAATTTATTTATGAAGCGGCAAATTTAGCACAGTAAAGGCTGGTTAGCGGAGGCGCTCACTCTTGTCTGTTATCAGTGTTCACGAAATAAAAAAAACCCTGCGAAATTTACACTGAATAATCATTAAGTGTGCAATATATATGTCAAGCATGTAATGCTTCACTGTTTCTTAGTATTCTGGTTTTAAAGTCACACTTTGGCAGGTTTTCTTCCCAAAGATAAATAAAAACATCAAATTGTTTACACTTTGTCCAGCAGAGAAAGAAAAAAAAAAGAATAGTTTCATTTCTTAAATGAACTTTGTTTCAAAACTTAAAAAGTAAAAAGGTATAGAAATGACTGAAGACGTGTGTAATGATGTTAAAAAATTTTCAAAAAAGAATTTGCACACATTTAACAATGATAAGTTTAAAAAGGTAGCACAGGTTTTTGTCTAAATCCGGTTGGAAGCAATTTACAACTGGTTAATTTTGACAAAGTAATTTACCAGTTGTACCTGAATGCAGCATGCGCAGCTGGGAAAATCCCCTCTTATCAACGCGATTACTCCGATTTGAGGAAGTTTGAACTGATTTTGCCACTTGTTGAAACGTGCGATCTGCTCGCTTGCTCCCCGTATCCCTGTTGCTTACAATTGGCTTAAAGCAGGTGAGTAATTCAGTTAATAGCAGGGCGACGCACAATTTGTCCTGTTAGCTCCAGTAGGTGACTTTTGTTTACTAATACGTGGAAGTTCACTGTCAATCTCCCTCATGTACTCGCCTCTAGCATACTATGGCTAGCAGAATGTATGCTAGCATACCATTGCGTTAAACCTCGAGCCATTCTGTTTAACATAAACTCGCTTTTCGGTATGACTGTTTATAATTACATATCTAACTACATTTGGTCCATGCAGAATCATATTTTAATATATCTGCATTTACATTCTGACTAGTAAGAAGAACATATCAAGGCATATTCTGTTACAGTTTTATGATTCAAAATGCCTTTCAAGATAGCTAAAATGATGTCACTTGGGATACTGGACTGGGAAAGACTTTCCTCATGGAACTGAAAAATGTTGCTCGGGAAGAGGAATCAATTTGTACCTTTTCTCGAGGTTCACTGGCACTAAAATGGAAGGACACGTTTCTCTTTTAAGTACAAAAATGTTAAAATTCTAGCCACCAAACTACTATTTTATTTTTTCTCTAAAACATTTCAGGGTAGTTTTTTTTTTCTGTTGCTTGACTTCAAAATATTGACAAAAAACTGGCAGTTTTCATCACAGGTTTCTAATACAAAAAGGATGGGAAAAAAAAGTCAGCATCTGAAGCAGAATTTTCTTTGAACATAAATGTATGCACATAACCATATTTGCACATGCAAACAGCACAAAGTAAATGAACACCATCACATTGAAAATGTGTTGTTTAAGGTCTCGACCTCATATCTGGTGCGAAATTAAAATCCATGAAAGCTGTCTCGATCTTGGAAATGGAATAACATTCTGATTTGTTCCTTTCCACCAGTTCAGCAAAGCATTGGCGCTGAGTGAAGTAGAAGACGTGCTGGGCAACAGTATAGATGAGAACGGAAGGTAATCCTGGAGTCTCCACTAGCAATCAGGAGGTGCAGAGGGCCTCATGGGGGAATGGATGCAAAGGTGGTCAGTGGCATGTGCTAAAGTGGAATTTTTCTTCTGCCTGTCCCTGCCTTTGCTTCATGCAAGGGCCAGCTAGAGTAGAAAGACATACTGTGGCCTGGAAAGTCAAGTCATTTCCTCCTGCTGCCCTAATTCCGCCTGTGGCATAGCTCAAATCTGACACTGATCCCATATTTGTCAGAGGGTGAAACCTGGATGCTATTTGATAGCAAACCTCTGGCGCTCTTTTTAGTCGACTCTTGACTGGAACTCAAGCTTTCCAGAGGTACCATTCACAACGCTGAGCAATCTGAAAGACATCCCCACTTCGGAATTTTTTCTTCTGCAGCACAAGAGAGGAAATTATCTGTGGCAGCGCTCCATTTGATTTCAACAGAGCACTGTGTGTGGATTTACCTAAAACAGCAATTGGTAAAAGCAAAATTTCTGGACATTGTGCTGTTCTACTACAAGAGAACAGAACTGACAAATTAGTCTATCAAAGCCACCACACGTTCTATTAGCTGTATTCACAGCCACATGTATACCCTCTGCTTTCATTTGCAGCCCCCCTCCATCATGTTGCTTCATTTATCAAAAGCTGAAATAATGTGGCAGGGATTTATTATCTTGTTCAGAAGCCAGGTCTCATTTGCACAACAGAGGCCACAATCCCCAATCTGGCATTGATTTCTTTTGATTTATGTGAAACAAGAAGTGTTCAGAAAGCATGTTCATTGAGCCTGCCCCAGCCCCCACATATTATTTGTTTAGAACGACAGTGACATGGACTACGGTGACACATGGGAGCGTATAAACAAAATTAATGAATTTACCACATTAACTAGCCTCATTGCTTGTTATTGTTGTGCACCTTAGTATATTTTTAGTTTGGCGTAATGCGCTACTTGAAATATTTATGAGTAGAAAATCTGCTTGTATATGGTTGTGTGTCAGCTCAAGAACATTTCGAGACATTGTCTAGTAGAAAGGCAAACACTTGGCAGATACAGTTTACAAGTGAATTATTTTAAATAAATTGAATATCAAGGTAAGGTTGTAAAACATTTCCGATGAGGAATTTGTAACCTTTCCTCTTTTTGGCTGTAAACCCTGTACTAAACTTTCTGAGGTGGAACCTAAACATTAAATAAGATATTCACTGCCTTTATTGTCAATCTATCTGACTGGCCACTCGCAAATCTGCAAGGGAAGTAACATGTTTTTGAGGGAAAGTCAGACATCCTTCTCTCCAGGGACACTGTAGCTAATTAAATTGAATTGAAAAGTGTTCACACTTCACAAGGGACATGAAGTCCAATGTGTGAGTTCTTGATCTAACCCAAGGAGTCCATCTAGTGCAGGGGTACCCAAACGTTTTGAAACCAATATCTACTTTTTCTCTCACCAGCTGCCTGAGATCAACCTCATGACACGAATACATAAAAATTGTACAATAAACTCTATTGACTTATGTTATGAGCAAATATACATCCGATACAGCAGAAACAATAAAGTAACATTAAGACTGGGAGCAGGTTACTGGTTTCTCAGTCAGAAGCTGGTTGCAAACCAGAGCCCAGCTGGTGTCAGTCAGTTACGGTAGATCTGAAATTTGGTTTGATGATGTCAGTATGAGAAACTACAGACGGATAGGAGGAAACAAAGAACACTGTAAAGGTAAAGACAAATCTTATGAATATGGGATATAATTAATTTAATTTCACATAATTATCGCGGTAGAAGCCATTTCTTTGTTAAAACTTACTGAAATATATTTGTCATATTTGATATTTGTTTTGAATGACGTATACTCACAAACGCACAAGGTAATTAGTCCAAGTTTGTCGTTTATTGAACGTCCAGAAACTACAGCGGCTGTAATGCACCACATCAAAGGTAAAATAACCCAAACAGGTGATCAACTCAAATCCACTCCTACCTTTTTACTGTCTCTCTCTTTGTCATTTGAACACACCCGTTGCCATTGCAACCGCTTGTGCCCTGCAAGCCCAGCAGAGATTACGTTAAAAACATAACATTCAGTCCATTACAATATCAGGCTTGATATTTATTTCTCGATTATTAATAAGCCTCTCATGAACACAGTGGTGTTTGAGTAGCTAAGTTAAACTCCCGCTCTGCTAGTCAGAGTTGGTCTTTGAGTCGCCATTTTTTTTGTGTTAATGGAACCGAAATGCACTGAATTGTGCAACACCTTCTTGAAACAATAATTACTGAGATTATAAATTTTTACACATTTTTATTATTTTTTTAAAATTATTCTTTAACGAAGCTACACATTTGGGATATTTTGATAAGCCTGTCAAAAGAGGAAGTGCTGGTCTCAGCGTCCTGGCAGCATTCACTATACTGCCGAGATTGACTCAAAATCTTTCCAAAACCTTATCTAATGGGACTCATCTTAGTGGAACTCAGTAAAAGTCCAAAAGGAGATTACTAGGAAGCATTTTGATTAGATGGTGATCTTTTTGTTTCAGGAAGCCAGTGATTCTATTTGTATTTCCCCTGGATTGTGGAACTTCTCAGTACATTTAAACTGAGCCCAGGCTCTCCATATAGGATGTTCATTTTAGCAGGTTGTTCCCTGAATTTTGTTTTCACCAAGAAGTAAATCAAAAGCTTTGCAACTGAGTTGATTTATCACAATGACTTTGCTTAAAATAATAAAATATTTACACCCCTTTGTTGCTGAGGTCTACTTGTTTTTTTTTTTTGTACACGGGGCATGGGAGTTATCACGTATCTTATGACATGATGGATATTGAAAAGACTTTATTTTTCCTGTGGCAGGTCAAGAAGATTTTGCTTAGCTTCCTTCGTGCTTCCCACTTTTTTGTGCAGAAATTATACTTGAGAAATCACAGTCAGCTGTTACTTGCAAATGTTATTTTAATCACTTTGCAATAATCATATTTGCATACTTCTCTGTATTGAAATCCTTATCATTGTTCTGTTGCTTTGATGGTCTTATGCAGATTTAGTGGCCATGAGCTCCGTTTGAATGCATAATTCATAATCCTCTGAGATACTTTATACTGTATACAGTAGGAGAGAACACTCAAATGACCAACACGCTGATCTCAAATCACAACAGTTGAACTTTACTGCATTTCCTTGCCTATGGCTGAATTGCTAATACCTCATTTCTATGCTATAACAGCAAATTATTGAGTGAACAAGGTCCTTCTTGGTTTGAATATTTGGTGCATCTCATCATAAAAAGAGACTTTGAACTCTGACTAAAATGTGCTTCTATGTTTTCATTGTTACATATAATGTAATCATTGTACTATATAAAAAAGTAACTATATAATGCCGATCCACAGCGAATGACCTCTAAAGAAATTGCAATAACCCTTGAATAAAAGTAACTAGCTAGAAAGATCCACGGCAGCCTTCAAAAAATAGGGACAGAATAACATTATTGCAGTATCATTCTCAAATACTTACCTTTTTCTATTTTGCAATTCATTTTTTATTTTTTATACAATATCAAATTTGTTTTTTTTCTTTTCCATGTTTTGTGAAAATTTCAGCACAAACATGAACAATAAATAACTGTCAAACAATGACCTGGCAAAACACTCAGGGTGTAAATATTTATGAACCTCTTCTTCATTGTTGACCAATTTTGCTGTCATATTTAGTTTTTAAGGGAAAAAGCCAAGAAATGCTTCTTGTGTTAATTTCTAGCAATGACAATTGATGGGTTTTATTTGCCTTTTGTTATACATTTTTCACTGTGTGCAGAGTTGCTAATGCAAAATTCTGAATTGTCCTTAATTTTGGAGTTCGGTGTTGTGCCACCTATTGGACCAATGTGATTTTGTTTTGTGCGTTCATAAATAACTAAATTAAAGTAGAAAAATAAATGACCTATAGAAAATATTAAGGCCAGCAAAATTGTGGCAGAATTTAAGCCGGATCCCCTCTCCTCTATAGACTAGTTCTATCTGCAAGTGCTATTGCTTGAAGACATTCCTTCAAGCAATAGCAAAAGACTGCAATCCTAATCTTAGCTCAGTGCTATATCTATTTTACATTTATTTCTATTCAAAATTACAATCTATGGCTATAAGAAGAAAATCTTCCAGTTTTGCCTTTCTTTCTATACAACTACTGAAACAGTAGCTGAAGTGGTTTTCAGCTAAATCCAGTCTATTACAGATTTTTGGGTGTATCAAGCAATTCATTACAAGTGGAAACAAATGCTTTTTTTGCTCTATGTACCACACATGCTACCTAATTTAAGTGCTATGTAATATGAATTGTCTAATAGAGGTGTTACTTAGTTACATGTAACAAAATTATGGAGATACACAAAAAATTATGCTTACATGTTCATAAGTTCACATTTTCAATGTTGTAAAGGAAATACAAGAACAATTAAGAGAAGCATTAAATTTAGTTGGCCTAAAACGTGAATGCCCTCCACACCTTACAATTGTCTTCCCTCCTCCTCTTTCCGAATCTTCAAAGACGTAACAAAACCACTCAAAAACCTGACTTTTCTGACAGTTGTACTTAATATTTTAAAATTTTAACCGATTTGGATAGCGGGTAAAGGAGAATTAGAATGCCCCCATATCAGACAGTTTAAAATTTCGATTTAAATTCAGATGCATTCACTATACAATTATATATTTTTAGGTGGGAAGTAGGAACCAATCATGTTTTTTATCTCAAAACTCAAAATTGTACATACGGCTAATTTAACGTTCAAAATTGTATCTAGTGCTAATTTAAGGGTCATGCTAGGAACTCATTATTTAATTTCTAAATTAAAATGAGACAGAAAATAGGCCAAGCTGATTTGTAGACATGTGGGAGACAAGTTTTTCTTTTTAAATGAACTTTTCTAAAATAAATTTGAAATGTAGTGTTCATGCAAATTTTCAATGTAAGATTCTACTTAGTAGGTGAGACATATCTCTATGCCCTATCCCAATATCTGACTTGTTTTTCAGTGTTGAAGAAAACTTCTCTGCCTTTGCTGAATATCACCCCAGTTTGTCTGCATGCACCATTGATATCCTAGCTGCACAATTGGATCACCAGGTAAGCCGGACTTCTGTTATTGTTTGTGGAACGTCTAAAACATCAGTTTTTTAATCTTAACACATTTATTTACAGAATCTCATGTCACTTTATATTACAAACATTTAAAAAAAAATTGTCACATTTTGTAAAAGACAAAATTCATTAAATAAACAAAAATGAGCAAAAGGGTGAATGTGAAAGTATGAATGTAGAAATGGTATTGCATAAGCTAATATAAGATTGGTTTTCAGTTGTACAACATCCAGAGAGGGCATTCCAGAGTTGTGGACAAGAGCAGCTGAAAGAGAGGATTGTAGAGAGTCAGAGATGGACCCGAGTGTGAAAATTGCACAATGTAAATTATTCAGACTAATATGATTATTTTTAGCATGTCAAATAATTCTACATTGTCATCATCATCATACATTTTTTGTGTCAGAGCAGAAGCAAGTGCTTCTCAAAAGATTAAAGCAAAGAGACAATTATAACTAGGGCTGATGTAAACAATTATTTTAGTAATTGATTATTCTGATGCTTAATCAAATAAAAATTCTCCCATTCTTTAGTAGTTACATTAGCTGGTAAATTATGAAAAAAATGTTTGTCATTGGTGTCTGTTAGTTGGAGTGTATCAGAGAGCAAGGAGGGGGGATGACAGTGCAAAGACCCTCCTTGGCTCTGATTGGTTGTTTCTAGATAGCACTGGGAGAAGGCAGAAGAGCTTCCTTTCATAAATTATCTGTACATACTTTGTAATATCAGAAACATGTTTTTGTTATTTTTACCCACAAGTACAGGTTGAGTGTTTATTTTTTTAAATTTTAGCTTCATCCATTCATTCAAACCCAAGATCTTCTTCGCCATTTATAGTGGTGCAATAGTTGTGCACCATCTCAGTAATGGGTCCTGTCTTTTTCAGTATTTGCTTCCTTTCATATTTTGCTTAATTTGTATTTATACTTCGTTCCGTTGGTATCTGTCAGTGTATTTTCAAATCTCCCCAGTTAACTGCGTCTCATCTTTTGATCACCATATTTATTTGCATATTTACTCCTTGGTTTTCCCTGTTCATTTTCCAGTCTCGATGTAACTTCACAGATGTCAGACCTGTCTCATTTCTTCCTTGTGTCTGGCTTTGTGGTTGTCTTGAGTTTTGTGGATTTGGATTCCCAGTGCTGGCAGCACTTTTGGTCTTGTTTGTGTCAAATATATGCATTTTTTCTCCTTTGTCACCTGCCTGCCTCCTACATATCCCTTTTGCATTTAGATATTCACCTTATACAACATTCGCTCTGAACCACTGTTTTGCTTCAATCACTGATGGAGGAGATTTTGTATTGGTAATTTGTTGTAATTATTATATTGGAAGATGCAGAAATGGTGTCAGAAATTGTTTTTTTCACGTGTACAGAGCTAATTAATTTTTGAATATGGCTCAGTACTAGGCATTATACTGATAAATAAGTTTATTATTTATTTTTCAATTTACTCTTCTGCTGTTAAGACTGTACTTGCTTACTATTGTTACCTGGGTGCATATTGTACTGAAGGACATGTATAAAGATCCAATGCGGAGGAATGGGCAATTGAGAAAAGGGCAGAACAAATTTAGGGGGCACATACATAAAGCATCCCTGACACTGGCATATCAGTTTTCTCAGCAATTAATGAAAGATAGCTTTTATTTCCTCCAAGGAAGCCAAGAGCAAGTTCAGGTCCGCTAGCTGTCCGCAAAATCAATCTAAATCTGGAGCCTACACTAAATCTTGTAGGTTTTCCAGGATTTTTTTAATGACCTGTCTTGTTCTTTACATGGTTCACAATCTGATTATTAGTAGTGGTGTAGAAGAGGCTAATTGAAGTGTCACTCAGCTCCTAAGTATCATCCTATTTTCCCTTTACTATGCTGAGAGGAAAATTATCTATTTGAATAAGTCATCAGCACTTGAAAAATGGAGATGGCTGTTGAATATTTTCTGAAGGCACTCTGAGTGAAGAACCTCTACTAATGAAAAGCCAAACGTAAAACTGGACTGTTACATTGCATTGTACTTCATCAGAATACAATACACAGTCAAAACCAGATAAATATATATTCTGTATAAAAAGACATACGCATTTTTTTTATCACCTGTCTTGAGTTAAATGAGACCAAACGTTTCTTATTTTAGCATAGTTACAATTGTCAAAATTTATACTTACTGAATGGTACCAGCACCACAATGTGATACTGCAGTCCCCATAATTCACAGTTAGTTTATGTGCGTTGGCCAAAACAAAAAGGTATTTCTAAAATTGTATACTTAAAAAAAATTCTCATCCACAGCAAAGGGAATCTTTGGGTATGGACTCTAAATTGGATAAATGTGCCATGTTGCTCCTAAATTAAAGCACTTTACTAAAATCAATGATGAATGATTTCTACCATGAAAAATATCTTTCCAAACAAATAACTAAATGAATAAAACCTGTTGGTGATGTATTTCTTAAAGCAAAATAAATGGTGGATCCCAGAATACCAATACATTTACATTTTCCTCTGCTAATGTATTTACAAAATCTTGGCAGAAAAGGCTGTGAAAAAGCTGGGAAGCTGAACAAACAAAGTGATTTATTGGAAAAAGAGGTTAAGGTATAAAACAAACAGCATCTAACAGGATTGCCCACACCTGCTAAAGAAACAGTTGGCATCCTTTAAACCAGAGCGTATTCTATTACTTCGAAAATGTGATTAGCCTAGTATCAAGACCGAGTAATTCCTAAGTGCAGGCAAGCTGGAAAGCAATTGGCTTGGCTGTGCATTCAGTTAAGGAACAAAAAACATTAAAACATAAATGCATTAAAAAATCCAAAAATACTTTAGCAAAGAGAAATGTAGGTGCAAGCGTCTGAAGTAATCCAGCTGAGTATATTAGTAAAGAATTATTTCATGTATATTGGTAAAGAATTATTTAATGTTTTACCTTATGTTTAGAGTTCTCTGACTCTTGAAAAATATGCAGTTATCTTGTACTATGTCCGTACAGTCAGCTTAATGTTGCCCCTTTAATTGCAGAAAGAAATCCTTAGATAGAAAACATGAGGGTGTCTGAAATGCTGCTGGTGTCAAGTCCCAACAAGAAAGGATAATTGGAGAGGTATCCTGACATCATCTTCAAAAATTGATGTCAGCTTTGCCTAACCATTCAGGTTACCAGAGCACTTGATTTGACAGAGATTTTAAATATTTTTCAGCAAGTCAGCAATCTAAGCTTAAACTCAGAAATTAATCAAGTTACCATGGTTATCTACTGCCTGGCTGTTAAAACTGATCAGAGAGGCCAAGTTCTTACAGTGGAGGAACAAGGGAAATTCACCCTCATGTAAAACATAGATGGTACTGATAAAACTATTGCAAAGATGTAATTCCTTTGGTTCAATGTAGAACCTCCAGTTTCAAACTGGTTCTATTTCTTTCTCCCTGAAAATGTTCCTACCCAGCATCGAGGAAAGCCTAAGTTAAGGGAGCACAAAAGCCAAGACTAAAAGACATATCTAAGATATTGCAGGTGGTTGGATTTCTTGCTTAGAAAGAATTTTTTAATTCAGTGCAGACCTTGGATGCCCATCAAGGCAAATTCAATTTATTTAGACCAAAAAAATTAGACTACAATGCATCTGTTGATCCCAAACCTTTTGAAAATGAGTCCCCATTTGGTGGAACAAAATTTTCTTGGACATTCACATCAGTAAGACTGAATAGAAATGGATAAATGTTTTCTTTAAAAAAGTAAAAACAATTGTCTGTTGGCTAAGTAGTTTTTATTCAAATTTCTTATCTTTTTTGCTTCAGTTTTGTTTCTTCAGTCCTACTTATCAGGTTCTTACAATGAAAGATGCAATAAAGTAGGAAATTGATGAAAAATAATTTTTTTATTAAATTCTCCATCAGTCTTAGCTGTTTAAAACAGTCTGAATGACAATATATTTATATTTTGAGAATGAAGCATCAAGTAAATTTGGGTACTAAACAATTTTACTTAATATTTTTATATTGAGTTCTTGGACTCTAATTTCATATGTGTGCATATTTTACGCTGTATATGCCCGACAGTGTCTTACCTGAAGACATGGAAATAAGTAATAGACAACTTGTTCTAGGTGCAAATGAGACGTGCTGTGTGGTGAGCTCTGGCTAGGCAGCCTTTTCAGTCATGTTATAAACCACAACAACTGAGGATAACTATTCAAATGTAAGCTACGGACGGGTGTAGCTATATATATTTTTGTAAGCATATATAAAAAAAACATTAATCTCAGTGTAATACTGACAACATTGAAGAAAATGTATTGTGTTTCGGAAAAAAAAAAAGAGTTTCAAAGAATATTTAGTGAAGTTCTTCTGTAAGTTCAACATCAGGATATTCGTCTTTTCTCCTCCTTTCATCTCTTGCTGTCCTCATTTTTCAATAGGTTCAAAACATTTATACAGCGGCACACCATCAGTACTACTCAGACAGGCCCTGCATCTGATTTAAGGCAGCATTTTGTTTTTTCTTTATGTCAGAAAATACTGTTCGCTTCACAACATATCCTCTTGCACTGCTTTGTCTGTGGTGGCAGCTGGTCGTACTCCCGTCATCAAAGCTCATATATCAATTTCTTACTCAAAGTAATGACTAAGAGACTGCAGACAAAACATCTCAGACTAAAGACAACAGATCTGTCCATGCATTGCTTGATTTTAAGGCTACTTAATGTTATGATTACAGTCTGACACAGTTCCTTATTGGGTGAAATCTTTGTACACAATTGCTCCAGCTACCATTCCAACTTATACCACAGGTCTCAGACCAACAGGAAACTGTAAAGAACAGGAAGGAAAAATAAAGAGAAACAATAGTAGATATCATGTAAGATTAAGTCCATTTATATACCAGGACAGCAGGTGTGAGTCACAGATGCAAGGACTCTGGGGAATGTAGGGTCATCCCACTCCTGCTTAGGTTCCTATTTTGTGTATTGCCCTTCAGGTACAG